ATTTATATTGTTCTAAGAATAATAATATGAAAAGTGTTAATGAGTTATTTAAAATATAATAATAATATAGTTGATAAAAGAAGAAAAAAAAGAAAAAAAGTTGAAAAATAAATAATATAGATAATAAAAAATAAAATATAATTTTTAACAAACTTTTCATTTAAATTGTTTTCATGTTGAGTTAAATAAATAATTGAATTTGAAGATTCTTTTAAAGTATTATTTATATCAAATGTAATAAGTCGATAAATAAAAGAAACTTGTAAATAACGAATATATCGAAGAAGAATTATTAATTTATCTTGATTATCTTCTTTAAAATCTCCACTTTTATTTTTTCGATCATTTTCAAGTTGAATATATATTGAATTTAATTTTGAAGAATTTTTTTGATAAATTTCTTTTGTTGATGTTGCTACAGATGTTGAACAATATTCTTCATGAATTTCATTTAATGATTTATATAAAAATTTCGATATTGAGGATTTATCATCATTTGATTTAAGTATTTCTTGAATATTTCTACTTGATTCAATTAAATCCGATTTACTTATTGATAAATAACAATATTTTATTAATATTGATTTATTTATTGATTTTATATAACGATTAAGATTCAGCATGTTGTCTTTTTTTATTTTTAATAAAACTTCTATATTGTCTGATATTTACCAATTTAAAATAAAAGATTTATTCTGTCGTCTAGAGACATCTTCTTATTTTGTTTTTATTTTATAACTAAAAAAACCAATATAACTTTTTTAAAATAAAATCTATAATCTATATTGAATATATTTTATATATTCGTTTAATATGAAAATATCATATTAAATTATTTTCATTATATTAATAAATAAAATCATCATAATTATTGTATTTCTTCTTTATTTATATTATCTTTAATAATAATTAACAATAATAATCTAGTCAAGATTTATTTATATTAGATAAAAACATTTATTTTCTTGAATTTTATTCTATAGGAATAAATTTAACCAAAATTTTTTTATAAACAATTTCAATTTTTACCTAAAAAAAATCAAATTTTCATTAATTTATCTTCTATCAAACATAAATATTCTTTTTTATGTTTCATTTTATTCAATAGTAAATTATAATTTTTTATGAAAAAAGTAAAACATATTTTAACTAATAATTCAATAATATCTATTAGAAATTAACAATATTGAATATATAATTATAAAAATAAATATAATAATATTAAGGCTAATAAATAAAAAGACATAAGATGTTTATGGTTTACCTCAATCGATATACTCGATTCTAAATTGATTTACATAGTTAGATATTAAAAAAGAAAAACAAAACAAAGAGAAAATACATATAAACTACGATCTATTATAATTAACAGTGTTCAATCGATTGTCGACAATTTTTTTTTCCTTGTTTTATATTTGTTAAACGACATTTGTTTTATAGATTTCAACGAGAATCATTTGAAAAAATATTGTTTCATTTTTCAGATATGGATATTTTGCTCATTTCATAATAAATCGTCATAAAACAAAGAAAGTTTTTTTTCGATTGTTTTGCGAGAGTTATATATCATAATCGATTGATAAGGTCGTCTTAGTATTTTTAGTATGAAAACATCTGAGGTTTAGGTAGCTAAGATAAAATATTATTATCTTACCAATTTTATCATGAAATTCAATTGAAAAAATTTATTAGAAAAAAACCAATAAACATTCAATTGAATTATTCGATCAAATATTTTTTTATATTAATTCATTAGATAAATCGATCATTTTCTAAAAAACATCCATTTTTCACTTATTTATTACTAGCGGAAGTACCCGCCGTTGCTCGGGAAAATTCCATATTGGATGCTCGAGACGTTATACAATGTTACTTTCATGATTTGCTATGAATAACGACCTTGGCTATCGAACAATGCCCTCCAATGTCTTTCCCCCTAGAATATGCATCAGTTCTTAGTATTTAACTGATTTGTTTTGGAATTCTTTAATGTAAAATAAATCATATGCACTGAAATACATTTTTAATTGCAAAGCTGTTTGACACACAACATTTTTACTTTTTCCATCTGGAGTAAAGACATACAAATGCTTTATAGTCCCAACTCTAGAACATGCCACATAAAGTTAACCATGAGAAAAGCAAGGGGCTTCCAGATATGTATAGAATCCATTGGAATGTTTAGATAATTCCATCATATGGTGTAATGGGAAAATTCCAATGACGATGTATGGTTCATCCTTTTAGTGAATTTCGAATATGCACTATAACACAGAGATAAAACGTACGATATCCACGTTCTACTTGCATTTGGCATGATCCATCCAGTAGAGTCATGGATGATCCAGGAAGGTATCGAGATCGATGGATTCTCGATTCCGATTCCCTGTTCCCTATATCCTTCTTCAGATTATTCAGTGTTACTCATTTTCCCAAAAATTCGGTTCCTGACTAAAGAATAAGTTATTGAGATGATTGGACCTCAGCTTCGAATTCATCGTTTCTAACAGCCTCTATCTCATTGTTTTCTAGAGAGTAGAAGTATTTTTGTCTGTTTTCTTCGCAGCTGAATTCCAATTGGTAATTTCCCAACCAATCAGATGTCGATGATGTAGATGTGCAGCGTCCATTTCATCAATTGTCTTAACACAGCCATACCCACACTCGCGCACACGCACAGTCACACTCTCAAGAAGGTTCCTGGGATAGTTTGGTGCCATTTGCTTGTACACTGTAAAAATGCATAAAGAACAAACAACCAGACAAACAAACTTTCTTCCTTATATAATATAGAAGGGTGGGAGGGGGGAGAGAATAATACCTCTCCACTCCATTTCCTCTCTCAATCCATCCGCTGTCGAAATACCCCTGCTCGAGTTATCGAAAAAATGGGGAAATATACCATCGCCAATCTTCCTTCTCGCCAATTGTACTTTTCGCCAACTGGCGAATATCAACTAGCTTTTCGCCAATTGGTGAATTTCGTGGGGAATTTCGGCAATTGGCGAAAACACTATGGCGAAACAAAAAGTTTATAGGCGAATTTCACACTAGAGATTCACCAAATTGACGAATTTCACNTTTTTTTCTAACTGTGAAAAAGTAAATTTTTCTTGTTGAGGTCAATAGTGATACTTAACAAAGGGTCTCCCTGGACATTACTTTATGGATATAAACTTGGTACATGCCTCTATCACTGGTAAAAAAATCAGCACGTTTGCTCGAGCCGTAATGGAGATATTCGAATTTCTTATCGCCGTGTTATTTATGGGCCACCCTGTATAAAACTAAAGTTATCAATTAACTCTCACAAATAAATTCTATTCCAAGAACTTTTATTTTGAAGATAAAACGAAAGCAGATCTTAAATATTTATCAAAATTTTTTCGGTGAAAGAAGATGAGGTGAATGCTCCATATAACTATTCAGAATTTTACGATCATCTTCTGAACAATCAGGATTTATTGAAACAAATTCGATCATCAGACAAATATAGTATTATTGCTAAGATGCCATGAATAATATGAATGATAACTTATGGTTTCTATGCACTAATATTTTCGGTTCAATTTCTAAGTAGAATTTATTTGCTTTCTTTTTTTTGCATTTTGTGAATGATTGTGAACTAACTAGTAATATAGAACAAATGACTATCTTTATTTTTTCTCATATAATATATATAATACCGCAGAAAAACTTGATTATGATTTCGTCAGCAGAAAATATGAATCACTTGCGTAAATGAAAATTACCAGTTTTCTTTCAAAAAAGACAACCAAAAAGCGTCCTGATTTCGATAAAAATCTCCTGGATTTTCTCCTGATTTTGAGTAAGAATCTCCTGGTCAACTCCTGGTTTTTTTACGTAGAACTTCTGGTTTTGTAAATTTGCATTTGGCAGCCCTGCAAAGTACCGCAAAGTACCATAGCTAAAAGCTGATTGAAGAAAAGCAAAGACAAGGTTCTTATTCTATCTTTTAATTTCGATGATGAATTCAATTAAACTAAAAGAAAAAAAGGTTCCTTAGCTTCATCTACAAGTGAATTACATAAACCAGAGGAAGACGAGCAACTTCTAAATGATGGCGTAAAAATTAAACAAAGTACGTTTTTATCTTACAAAGTACCCTCAAGGTACTTTGTTTTTTTCCGTAAAGTGCAAAACACAGTACTTTTGTAAAAAACGTAAGTGCCTTGAGTACTTTGCTTTTGCTTGAGACACTTAACGTTAAAAACACTGAGAGAAACAAAGAAAGATCATTACTCTTTTAATTCACCAATAAACAATTTCTAAGACTCTACAGAGGTCACTAATCATTTTTTTTAAATTTCTTTTTTTTTATATTTTTTTTAAGAAACAAATATTTTTAATGATAAATTGCGAAATTTTTTTTTTCAAAATATAACAAAAATAATTAATAATAAACATTGGATTTGGATTAATCTCTAATCAAATTAAATCAATTGAGAGAATTGATAAATAGACAAAATTATTCTTTATCGAACTGCATTTTTCGATTTGTTTTTTGCAAAAAAATACATGTGCAGAACACGCACACTATGGCCTTGTCTACAGTAGAAATTTTTTTCGAATTCGAATGATGCAGAGAACTGTCTGTGTTCGATAGTCTGTACACAATTCAACTAGAAATGACGATTGCTATTAACTCGACAATTGAATTTTCGTTTTCTACGAAATACCGTTTTTTCGAAATTTCGAGAGATTCGTGCTTCGCACCTTATTTCACATTCTCGACAAAGTCGAGATGCCATCTAATTAGTTTTGAGAAGTAAGCAGCATTGGGCAATTAAAAATCAACTTGGTCACAGTATTGTTAACGCTTATTGCCAATACAAAAACCGATGTTTATTGAAGAGAAGTTCGTTACTCTCAACTAAGAGTCGAACTCGTTCACTTTTTATTGTACTCTTTGTTTCAGAAATGTAATCTCAAATTTTCAAATATGTGAATATATTACGTCAAAAAGTATAAATAAGCACAACCAGAACCATTAGCGAATTTAAGTGGAATAACGAATACTTTGAAAAGAAACAATTGAATTGCCATTATTGTGAGCATCGGTTCAATGGAAAAAATAGCCAGTTGATCTTTGTGGATGACTTGATTAGATTAGAAGAGGATGTAATGTATTAAAATGACACCCCTTAGGTGTTTGTACATTTATGTGTATGAAGATTTTTAGGCAGTGGACAATTGGTATCATTCAAAAAATATCCATGGGCAATTGCTTTTGAATTCGTGGGCAATTGCCCAATGGCTGTACCCCTGGCTACTCCACTACCGCATAATATGGTTCAAAAAGATTGTCAATACGAAGTTTCATTGCAACTCTTAGTTTTTGCTGTAGATTTGCATCAAATTGAATACACATATGTTGATCATTCGAATTTCTATGGACTTCTGTGGGACAACCATGAAGTGTACATATCCAATATGAAATAGAAGAAGCAAACAGAAATTTAGACTACTCATAATAGATGAGGTTATTTCTCAATCTCGTCTTAAGATATAAGAAAATTCTTGATGATTCTTAAAAGTCTGTTAATCCATTAGTCTTTTGTTATAAAAAGATAATTTTCAATTCATTTATACTTGTTTAGATGTAAAATATAAACATAATTTTATTTTCTAATATAAGCAAATACTAATGGCAGATAATTTACTGAGTGTCACAACTTAGAAAAAAATATTTTTTAATTTTAATACTATAGATTAGAATAAGGCACCGAAGATGATCAGTAGCTGTTCCTTATGCAAGTGGTACCAATTATAGACCATAAATCTATGATAGGGTGTACGTGGATATGGATGTGAATGAATACTAGATCTACACCCACACCCTATAGATATTTGGTCCTGTTGTATTTCTTTGCTTCATTTAAGTCAGCACTTGCTTATTATATATATATAATCGGCAAAATCAATTTTATTTCTATTGATTAAATGTCGAACCATCAAAAAAGGCATCTAAGGACGAGAAAGCGTCAAATCTAAACAGACCAGAGGGGTCAAACAATTGTGAACATCTAGGAACTAGATTTCTTTCTTTCTCACAAGTCTCTGTTAAAGTTTGAATCTTAGTTTGTTTTGACGAACATTTTTGAAATCGAAAATGGATCAAATCAATCAGCTGAATACGAATACGGTCTAGAAATACTTGAAGATAATACTACATGGGAAGCTAGTTATTTTTTCGAACAATAATACAAAAGTGCTTAGATTTTTGACCGTCATTGGTATTGAGCTTTCTTTTTCGTGTTTACTATTTTCTGCTTATTAAAACGCAGAAGCTTCACAATAGGTTACAGTTTTGTTTGTTGTTTATGAAACGTGGATTTATTCACTTCTATTTTAGGATGTGGGTGTACAGGTGTTCACGTTGCATTTTATTACTTTCCTACACACCCACATCCTCATAAGTATAATACGAATTCTTTCTAAGATTAAAATCCATGATCATTATTTTTTTTAAACTTTATCACAATGAGTGACGATATAATTCTTCAAACTCAATTTGGATCATCTCGTAATGATGATTCAACTGTTGTTTCTGTATCATTTGTTACATCAGTACCATCATTAGCAACAAAAAAGAATAAATATTTCTTTCAATATGTACTTGTTGGTACTTTTTTTCTTTTTTTGCTCGTTATTCTTATTCTCGTAGATATAATTGTTTCAAAAATTGGTTCATATTTGGTAATACAGATTGAATCATCAACAACAACGAAAATTACTAATCAAGCATAAAAAAAAATGAAGTATCTTCATTAGCTGATTCATTTACACTTGAACATACGTTTATTCATCTTTGTCAATCTCAAAGTCATGCTATAGGAATAGTTTCATTTAATTGAACAATAGATTATCTTATATCAGAATTAAACAAAGAAAATAATTTTATAGCTGGTGTAACTAATGTATATGCGGATACAAAAGAAGGCGATATTAGTCGAACTATTTTAGTCGGTAGTCTTAGTAGTAGTGTAGCAGCAGGTAAGTGTTTTCTGGTTTTAGTATTAAACAATAAAATGTGTACGACAAGCTAAAGCTGATGGTTCACTTGGTTAATATTCTGTGAATTTTAATTTTGAGATGTTAGCATCATTTATGATGATAATACAACAATATCAGTACATGCTATACCTGGTAGTAATTGAATAGCACGTTTATTTATTGATGACTTTGAACCAAATCGTTTACCATGGGATTATCTGGAATTTAGTAGTCGAAGTGAGTATGATCCATTTCTTGCAGAAGGTATTGCTTGTGACGGTCTATTTGCTGGTACTGATGATATTAAAAGTCCAGAACAACATGATTGATATTTAAAAATGTTAGATTTGCTTATTCACATATAGTTAAAGCTGCTTCTCATGTTATTGATTTTCTTGTGAAACTTCAAAATCTCAATCAATCGATTTATCCATAGAAACATTTTTTGTTTTACTTGAAAAGTGTTTTTTTGGTTTTCCATTTATACATATACTAGATGAAAGCCTTTATCAAAAATCTAAGAAAAAAAAGCAATCGTCGTAGACTTCATTGATATTTTATTTATTTTAAGAGTATCAATAGGTGTAGGTTTTTAAAATAGATCAATAGATTGGCTATTTCAATCTATCAGGTAAAGCAGAAAGAAAATGTAAATAAATGTTAAAGAATATTTGTATAGCGAAAACCTGCTCTTTTTAACTATGTGGTACTCGAGCTTCACTTGACTATGAAATGTTATGCGAAGTACAAATCTTGAGAATCGAAAAAACTGATTTCTGATGAAGAACGAATAGTTGCTCTACCAATCCATCATAATTCGTTCTCCCCTTATTGCTTCGGATTACTATGGAAATCAGAGGTTTTTCTCGTCGTTTTTGAATCGAAGAAGCAACATTTTCATAAACCAGCTGATCTAACTTTGATCCAACATGACAAACAGCCATCCTACAATTCTTCACTATGTGAACTCTGCTAACACATATTGACAAGCTTCTAAAAATCAGTGTTCATTGATCGATTCATTATCTATTCTCAGCTGTATTCACAGATGAGCTACGAGAGTGGCACCTATCTTTTGTCGGTTTTCAGCTACTTAGTGGTATGAATGCTATCTAACGGCAGAATCAATAGACTGATATCTTTCTTACAACTAATATTAGCTGTAGCTCTGAACTGAAGGTCGACCTGACGCAAAGTGCTTGCGGTCAGCTGCTTGAGCTCTTCTTACACACTAGCTAACCATAAGAGCTTATATACGTCACAACATATTATATAGAACGAAAACGAACTTTAAAAGTCTGAAATAAGATCCACTAAACACTATTTTTTTAACCCTAATAAAATATATATTCTTGATCCATTCATATCCGGTAAAAAAATAACAGATAAATAACTAGCACGAGAATATAAATTGAGTCATTACCAGGTAAATTATGCTAGTAAGGAAAATATGAACGTCAAAAAAAGAAGAAATCTTTTGGCTAGACTTCTTATGATTTATTTAAAGTCAGGAACAACCAATTAAATGAAACGATAACCAAAACTAAAATGACGGCGAAGCTGATGAAACATTAAAAGAATGAATTCGAAGAGAACAAAATATATCGAAAAAAATGGAAGAAATTCGACGAAATTTAACAGAGAATAATAAAAGACAGCTTTTTTAATATTATAATAACATTTGAACAATGAAATTTTAACACAAATATTAAAAATGAAACCTATTTCGTCATTAAGTCAAAGTCAAGTATGTGTGCTTGATTGTTATCGTAAAATATTCAATCGAACAGAAAGTTTATTTGAGAAAAAATAAATGCCTCTGATCAAAACTTTTATATGAACATTTTTGGCTATTACTTTATTTTTAAGCTTCTGTTGAAGAAGAGAAAAATTTGTCATGCTCAAAAGTTTTATTTTTATTTTTTGTAAAGATAGAAAATTGAAATTGAGAAAGGAAAAAACGAGCAGTAATCAACGAACATATTATTCCTGGTTCGTTATGAACTCTTATCTATTTTATTAAACTTAATGAGGATTCTAATGTTGGCTAAAATCTTCTAATAATCTTGATAATGATTCTTGGCCAACAAACATTTTTTGAAAATGTTGATTGACTAAAACAATAATAGACAACAGTCAATTTTCAACTTACAAATATTGTGTTCAGAAAATATCGCTTTCATTATGATGCATATAATAATAAAGAAACCAGTCAAAAACAATTTACGAAAACGATTAATCAGTTTTAGAGGTCAGAATTTGTCAAGATATATGAATTTTCAAATAAACTTGATTCGTATGGCAAATAATCAGTATTTGAAAATTCACTATTTCGACAAGGGAACATTATTTTTCGGTTGAAACTTTCACAATATTCTATTGGTCAATTGACCTGCTTTATGGCCGAAATTTCAGATCGGACGACCACTACTTGATTTTTTGATTAACATCTAAAGCTGAATTGAAAATTTAATAAAACAGTCATAACTCGTCTTTAGAAATTCTAATCTTACCGAGACATCCTTGTGAATGAAACATGAGCTTGCTAGTCTCATAAAAATCTCTTTGTAGCTCATTGTATTTCGTAATAAAAAAAATATTCCTTTGTCACAATAAAGTTTTTATTCAAAACAATATCTATTCAATATGGATATTGTCTGCTGGAAACTAAAATTTGTTTAAGATAAACATATTGTGCAATGTGAAATAGATAAATGATATAATATTATTAACTGACATCTCATGAGATCTAAATCAATTTACATGAGAAAAAAATTATCCTCATGAGATAAATGTTATTTATCAAAAAGTCTTTTTTCACAATAGAAATTGATGATACTTGAAGTAAAATCATCCATATATCTTTGACTAAAAAGACTTCATAATTATGGTCTAACATCAGAAAAATATGAACGTGATAGAGTAAAAAACGAAAACAAAAAATGAACTAAGAAATTAGAACATTGCAAATGTGAAGAAAATGAAATGCTCTAATTGTATATTCAACAGCATTATGTAATTATTTTAATGACATATATTATGACAATATTAATTAATAGAAACATTGTTTGGCATATTCTTTAATATTTCAATAAAATGTATTACTAGTTTTTCTGCTTGTAGTATGTTGCCAAGTACGACGGAATTATCTAATCAATGTTGCGATTAGTTTATATTTCTTTTTCTTTTCGAGGTTATTTTGTTTAAAACTAATCCTCAAATATGATTGCGTCTGTCGGTTGTTGTCATTTTTTAATTATTTATTTTCATAAAAATTATTATGAAAAAAAAAGAAGAATACAAGGCTTGTTAATCATACAAGTAATTGGAGCTTTGTCATCCTTTCTTTTTTTAATCAAAACTACATTCGCATGTCGAACGGAAATGTTCAAGAGTCCTTCTTTTTTTTCTTTATGCTAAGTGAACTACTTGCCTATTCAACAAAAAGATATGTAGTGCACGGTTGTAGTCATGATATAAAGGAAGCACTTGTCATCTTCGTTGATTTTCGCTTCTTTTTTTCCTCTGTCTCTCTTTGCTTTCTCCTTTTTTTCTATAGTTCTTTTTTTCTCTTTGAAAGAATGATCATTTATTCAATTTGATGTGAGAGATTTAGCTTCTCATAGACTCTTCGTATGCGCTGTTTAACGTTTTTACTGAAGTCTGTTGTATTGTGTAGTTTTTATTTATAAAGAAAAACAATCAAATACGTCAATTATCGAATGATGCGTCGTTTACAACATTTCAGTAAGTAAAAAATGATTCCTAATTAAAAAACATGAATAATAGAAATATATTGACAACCAAAATAAAGAGAGAAACTTTCATAGAAAAAACAAATAATCTAAGGTTTTGAAATATATGTAATTAACTATGAGAAAACGTTATTTGGTTAGTGCCGATAGTGAAAGTTGTGAAACAATACGGCTGACTAGAGAATGCTTGACTCTCATTCCTATTTCCTGTTATTTTCTGCTATGTGCTTGAGAATCTTGCGTGTATTTGCTGTGCAGACCCTCCTACGCGTCCGTTCTGCTAATACGATGAGAGGCAACATTCTTTTTCTCCCCTCTCGTTTTACGTTTCTCCCCCTTCCCTGTTCCGTGTCATATTTACTTGCTGGGTGTCAGAAAAGGATAAATCAAACAATAAAAAAAAAAAACTCATCGTCCTCATCGACCAGAGAAGCAATTTATCTGACTGCATACATATACATCCATACAGAGAAAAAACAGGTTCCTATTACAAACAAAAGAAAAGTTTATTCGTTCGTTTTTCTCTTTCCGGAAGTTCTCCGAAAAACTTAATCAGCTAGTACACAAATACAAATCAATATGTCACAAGAAACTACTGTCTAGTATAGAACAAACGAATGATTAAAAACCCGTTGTAATTATATTAAATTCATTCATTCTTCATACTTACACTCGTCAAAACGTTAAAAATGTCAATGGAATCATTTGAGCGTAAGTGGTCAAACTCATCCTCAAAATTTTCTTTTCATTTTTTTTTGTGTCTTTCGTGTTAGATGTTAATATGATAATTGATATGATGGTCATAGAGCTGTATATCCTTTAAGTCACTCCATAGTAATTGAATAATGAGTAATAAAATTAAAAAAAGAGAAGAAAAGAGTACTAAAAAACATCCAGTGTTACAGTAAGAACAAAGATTTTTACATGAATAAGAACATTACGTTATTATTTTGAGAATATACTAACAAGATATTATTTGTCTTTCGTTTAAGAATCACAAGGGAAATATAAAACATCTGTTTTGTATATATCTCTATTGAATAATGTAAAAAAAAAGCAACACGAAGATATCTGTAGAACAGATTTTCTTTTGTTTCTTTATATTCCACACAATATGGGAAAATAAAGAATAGATCAATGATGAAAATAGCTTATTTACTGAATAGAAAATGTTAAGAAGATGATGATGATGATATTGACATAAGTCTACAAAATATATATTAATGTTATTTCTATAATAGAAAGTGATAATGATCTGACACCCACATTGCCCGTCAAAATTCGTAAAGTACCAAAAAGTTTAGAAGAAATTGTACGAATAACAAAATTTAACAAATCAGAAATACGATTACTTTATAAAGGATTTAAACAGGTATGAGAATAAAATATAAGAAAAATGAACACACGTTTCTTTTGTGAATGTTTATATATTTTATAGGAATGTCCAAGTGGTGCAGTAACTGAACGTGAATTTCAAGCTATTTATTCACATTTTTTTCCTCATGGCAAATGTCAACATTATACAACTTATTTATTTCGTGTTTTGGATAGACGAAAACGGATGTATTTTACATTTGAAGTAATTGCCTCATATAAATAGAAGCGTAATTAGCATAGAAAGTTGAAAAAAAACAAAGAAAGAAAATTTCCGTCCTTTTTCTTGTTTATCATTAAGACTTCAATTACGGACTGAGAAGAACTAAAAATAATATGTTCTGGCAATACACTAATTCACTTTAATTTATTGTTGACAAAAGAATAGAAATTTTAAAAAATTTTTGTTTTTCTTTTCTTATCTTTAAAAATGTATTAGCTATTAAAAAGTATAAGGATAATTGTAAACTTGCATGTTAGCTTATTCTGAATGAAATCATTTTTGATGTTGAATAGAAGAATTATAAAATGATGACTGAATCTATTGTGTTTTTCACTATTATGTAGGATTATATTCAAACATTATCAATTTTGCTACGTGGAAGTATCAAAGAAAAACTTCAATGGATTTTTCGTTTCTATGATATATCAGATGATGGGAAATTAACTAAACAAGTATGATATTTATGATCTATATTAGGTCATATATATATATAAGCATATTTGTATTTATCAGACAATAGAAACAATTCTTCGTTCAATCTATGATCTTCTTGGACCAAATCATTGCCTTCATCAACCATTTACTGATGCTACAATTGAAAAACATTCAGCTTTTATATTTGCAGTAAATATTTTATTATTCTTATTTTTTATATATTCAATATTTTATTTTGTTAGAAACTTGATGTTCATCACGTTGGAAGTATAAATCTTGATGACTTCGAAAAATATTGTTTACATGTACGTATATCATTCATTTAAATATTACTAATGATTTTTATTTAGGATGAACAATTATTAAATACAATTAAATTACTTTCGGCCACTGCTATTTAATTTTATTTTGCCAATATCAAGTGGTTTTCTTTTTTTTTTCTTTTTTGTATAAATTAATTATTAATTTATTTTTAAAATACAATAAAGAATTCAAATGTATGGTAAAATTATGTTATTTAAAATTTTTTTTTTTTTGTATTAGTTTAGTATATATCAATTGTTATTTTTCTTTTTTCTCAATCATATTAAAATATAAAGCTAAGGTTTTCTTTAAGATTGCGTGCAATAAATTTGTGCATTATTAGTTGTTTGTGAAAAAAAAATTCTGTGAAGCTTATATAAAAAAATAAGAACATGCAATTATTTTGATAGCTCACAGGGATAAAACTTAATCATGCGTTAAAAAATTGATATGAGATCCAATTAGTTTAAACAGCAAAAAAAAAGAAATAAACAAAAATGAATGTCATTAAGACAAGGTATTCATAAAAATCAGATTTGCGTTATGCATAGCGAACAACAATGAAATTTAAAAATTAGATAAATATTTTCAATTCTCAAGAATTTGTTTTTTTTTACTAACTCATTAAGTTAGCTTCAGAACTTTGATACTCATCGAACTTCTGTTATATTGTGTTCATTGCTAAGTTTTGTATTAGAGACTACAATATTTCAAATTTTGATATTTGTCTGAACCACAAAAATTCAATTCATTTTAGATCATGGACAATTCATAGACACCATTTTTCTTTGTTTTTGCCGCTTGAAATTAGACACGCACTATTTCCAGTAGGACTGGTATTCAGCCGGAATAAATTGCGAGCATTCAGGCAGACGTTAGGTGAAAAATTGAAAGTACACATTTTAATGCTTTAAATAGGAGAGCATTTACTTCGACATATAGACTATTTAATGATATAAATGTCCTTGTTTATCTTTTTTAATATAAGTCGGCAAGCATAGAAAACATCTCGTCAAAATATACAGCTAAGAAGGATTAGAAGATTTTTCTATTGTGAACAAAAAAAAAATACTCAAGAGAGAATTATATATAAAATGAAGCAGTATTTTTTACTCTATCGATTCATAAAAAGACTTTTGCTTTTACAAAAACATGTATTCAGAATAATGAACTTGTACAATCTTTTATAAGACCTCTACAGTGTTGAACACTAACTCAATATTTGAAATCAGTATCGAATGATGTATAATGTATTAGTCTTCTCTGATAAATATCAATTTTTGATGTCAAAAATGAAAACTAATCTTTTTTCCTATTAGTTTTCATGAATACAATGGATCTCAATTGTTTGTTAATGTCTGCTTTAATATTGATTTTTTTTTACATGAGACAATGCCCTCGTATGAAAGCAGTGTTTCTACATCTGTTTTATTTGATATACAATAAAGACAAAAAACTCGATGTGTGATTTAATAATAAAAGAAAAAAAAGGAAAACAACAATATAAGTTGAATTTAATCGATCATTGCAGTCATTTATTATCTTCATAAATTAATACCTCAACGTTGATCTATGTTTAGCAATGAATCTAAATAAGAAAAATATTGCAAAAAAAAAACTAAAAGTTTTCTAAATTAAACATACTGATCAAGTGAATCCCAAAATGTTCGAATACGAGCACAATCCAAATGACGTTTATTTTGATCTAATTCAATTAAATGTACACACCATTTCGCTATATTTGCATCAGTTTTTAATTGAGCCCATTTAATATGATATGCTTTAACTAATATAAAGAAAATTTTATTATATTCTTTCTGTAAAGAATGTTTCTTTTTGTTTTATTTACTTTTTTGAAAAATTTCCACCGGATTTCCTGACCATGGCCAGCCTTTAAATTGCCAAGCAGGTCCTTGTGCAAATACAGCAACAACACGTTCTTCCCTATAGAAAACAAAATTACTTCATATTTATTCATGGTGGCGCGCATAAATAATTAGATGATCATAAAACAAACTTCAGCGTCTCCAATGTACTTTAAACAATCATGATGAGGAAGAATTCATCGACGTTTTTATTGACAAGAAAATCGTCAATGAATACGACTTCGAACTAATACTATTGATTTTAATTAAAAAAACTTTATTCAGGTGTACTTTTTAATGGCTTAAATAGGACAAAGTTTACTCTGACATATGGGTTGTTTGATGACATAAAAGTCTTTGTTCCTCTTGTAAGCATTAATCGGAAAAAATCGGTAGTAAAAATTAGGAGCCTATTTTATTGTGAATAAAAAAAAACTCCGAAGAAAATTCTATCTAATCTAAAACTCCGTCTTTAAATCTATTGATTTGTAAAAAAGAACTTTTCCTTTTACGGAAACATGAGTACAATATAATGAACTTGTACAATTTTCTACAACTCCAAAGTCTACAAGAAAAATTTAGAAAACTAAATGCACGTTCGACACTTCCAAAAATAACTGGAACTGCTTTTTTTTTTCATTTTTAGTAACCCAAACCACGGCTTTGGTTCTGAGTAATTTTTAAAACCGGCAAACTCTAACGCCTAGTCTACGAGGAAATGCCCACCATATATCACTAACAAAAAAAAAATCAGTCCTATCGATTAAAGCTGATTGTAGATACTGAATTTTTTTTAATATTGTCTAGTTATTTATGCATCACTCTGTATTATTTTTCTAATTTCTTTTACCAATCTTGTTTTGTTAATCGAAGAGGATCATCAGTTATTCGATATGGTACTGTTAAATTTCCTTTTTTACGTTGTATTAATATATCACCATCACGTTTAGTACCACTTGCTTTACCTTCTTCTGTTGATATATATCTAAATATTGAATGTAAAACTTAAGAATCAGAACAAAAAATATCTATGATTTCATTTGAAATTTACTTTAAATCTTCAAGTAATTCTTTACAATTATATCTTGTTATTAATGATGTTAATGCTGGTGGAATAATAATAATTGGTGTGCGTGATGGACGTTTTGATGTATCAGTATTTGAAGTATTTAATTTATCATTTGCAGGAACAATAGGTTTAGGTATTGAAGGATTTGCTGGTGTCTTTGAAAAAAAGAAAATAAAAAAACATTAAAAAATGAATTTTTAAATGAAAAAAAAATCATTACAAGAGGTTTATTTGGTGTTGCACCTTCTGTGACTGTTTTTAATGTTAAACCATGATATGAAGCATGTGTATCAATTTTAAATTCCGAATCATCTCTTGGAACAAATTTTTCTTGATTATATCGAGAATAACCTTCAACTGGTGCACGAGTTGTTGTCTATAAAATAAGATGATAAATTTTATTTAGAAAAAAAAGAAAAACAAATTTAAATATTAAAAATCTTACATCACGAACAGGTGATCGCTGTGCAGCAAGTGCTTCTTGTTTTTGTTCACTTTCTTCTTTTGCTTTAATAGAATTTAATATTAAAAGAATATTTTTTGCAAAATTCTTAAATTTAGAAAAATAAAAAATTTTAGAATGAAAAAAAAAACATAAGAAAATTAATCTCTATACTTTATTTGAACTTTGTAAAACTGTTGTACGATTTCTCCATGTTCGTTCACGTTTCATAATTTCAAATGTATCAGCTGTAATTGGTAATGGTTCTGTACTTGGTTCTGGTGTATCTTCATTTTCTTTTAAATCAACAATTTTATCACGAGCTGTTGCACGAATTTTAGCTCGTAATTTAAGAATTGCTTCCTTAGATAATTCACCGGATAATGGACGAATTTGATCAGCTGTTATTTCTTTACTTTTTTCATCGAACTTTTTTTCTCGACGATCTTTTAATTTTTGCATATCATCATCTTCAACTCGAGCCATTTTTGCATTATCCAAACGAGGATCTTCTGCTGGTCGCTTATTAACTAGAAAACGAGAAATCATTACAAATATATTTCATTTCGTGCTAAAATGTTATCCATAAATAGACTTTGTAGTCACTACCTATGTAATAACTACCGAGAAACTATCGTCGATATTTTTGAAGCCTATTAGAACTGATAGAATTTGAAGTACTCTAATAATGTGAATGTATCTGCGTCATCTGTATTGACCACAGAACTCAAATTGGTCTCAGTTATGAAATACATTTTTATTGTACGTGTATGCCGCATGGGTAGAAACTATTCAAACTAGCTGTAGCTCTGAAAAGAAGGCTGGTCAAGCGCATCGCTCTTCCGCGTCATTTTCTTGAACTCTCCATACATTCTAACTAACCAGATACTAGCTCAAAGAGTAGCTGTATAGCCGTTAGTGACTTCTCCAGAGTCATTCCATGGTTTTTCATACTGAAGTTTTTACACAGTACTTTGTGAATATGTGTCGAACAACACAGCCACTTAACCATGGCGGCTTAGGTCTTTTGATTGACTTTAGCGTCACTCTCTTATCTCAATTTCTACAGTTTGGGTACACGCCTACCGAGAACAAACGTATCCCTATTGAAATATCAGTCATCTTATGTTCACATAGAGAAAATATCAGAAAATCAAACCAAAACAGACTTTAATTTCATACTAATCATGATCAATCAACTAGCTAGTTTCAATTCACGATGTAAAAAAAGGATTCAAATTCGAATAATGAGAAATTTAAGTCCTTAGCAATGAATGATATGAAATAGTTTTCACATTACTGTTCTGTTCAATTTTTTAATCCATAGTTTATCTATCGAAAAATGAACAATTCGTAAATCATATAATCGATTTATTAGCTATTTTGAATGTAGCGGAGTGTAATTCTGTCAAGTAATCTTTCAGAAAATTTCTTTCTATCTCTATTCTGATCATGTTGTTTTCAAATAACTCGAACTTCAAGATTTTGGTTTCTTATAGACATAGACTCACTCATTACTCTATGACTTAAATTCTCACATACGTCATGTTATTTCATAAATAAATAAAACAGCAGAATTTCTTTTTTAAGAAAATTATGAAATTACCTTGCAATGGTCGTTGCATAGCGATTTCCAAGGGAGCATTTCTATCGATTCGATCAGCTGTATTTGCTTGTCCAGTTAAATAAGCTAAAAGATCTTTACGATCTGGCCGACTTATAGCGGGAATACCTTTCTCCTATAAAAAGTTTTAATAGTTAAACACTCTATTATAATTTTAATCGTCAATACGTACTGCCGCTTTTTTGACATAATTTGCATGTTGTAACTCAACATTTTTTAATAGAAAAACAATACTCTCAAGTGTATAATAATCTTTTGGTGTATTATCTTTACCAGTACTAAACACAAAAAAAAGAATTAATGTTTGAGATTAATTTTCAAAGAAAAAACAAACCCATAAACGAGATAATTTGTTTTAATATCTTTTGGATATGCAAGATCATTAAAAACGAATCGATCATTTTCAATTGTATATTCTTTATTTTCAAATATAAATTGACGAAGAAGACTTAGTGCATCAGCCATATTAAATATCTATAAAAACTAATTTTTTTTAATACAATAATCAAAGGAAATGAAAGAAATAAATAGACAAATTTTTTCTTATTGGTCTATTTTTATTATCCAATCAATAACAATGTGAAGCGCTACTTTCGTCGTTAAAATTGAACCATTGAGCATTTATTATTATCGTTGTGATAGTTGGATATAATTCATTATTTATTTTTTTAATAAAATAATTAAAAAATTATTTCCTATAAATAAATATCTTGAAAATATTCTTTTTTTATTTTTTCTTATTTTTATAGATTTATTTGAACATTTATGAACGCACTATGTGTTACATAGAAGAAAAAAGAACGATTTATGTAGAGGACCAAGAGTCGGACGAATGTTGCTCTCCAAGGTTAATAACATTCAACGAAGCGGCGGCGACAGCAGCCGCTTGTCTGTTTGTTCAAGGCAATTGCGAAAGAAAAAGAGGAGAAGAAAGACCTCCTATTCATACACACATACAGGGTCGATTGCGATGAACGTAAATGGATCTGTTCTTTCTTTTTTTCTTCTACTTTTATATAACATATGCATACATATGCATATGTCGATAGGATGGAAAGAAAGAGAGAAAGAGAGATGTTCAGTTTGGAAGCGACCTTGGTTTAGAAGGTCATTAGAGGTCGTGACAAGGTTGCTGATAGCACAAAAGGAACAGCCAACATGTATGTGTGTATGTGATAACGATACGGTAAAAATCAATAAAACGTTATATAGTCGCGTTGAACTACTTCGTATTCTTTTTTTTTTTTTTCATTTCTTCATCTTCTTTTTAGATGTTTGCCATAAAGGCACTTGCCCACTTGTGTACTACTCGATCAAGTAAATACATTAATAATATAATCTAATCTTTTAAAACAATTTATATTCTTAGTTCTACGTTTTCATCAATCAATGTATTCAACGACAGTATTCAGATTGAATTTAAGATTAATTCATTCTTTTACAATGAAAAAATGGATTAAAAAAGATGTTAATCGATGAAGGCATTTTATTTTGTTGCGAGAACAATGGAATCTTATGTTGATTATACATATATATGTATATATAGATAATGAGAAAAAATATTATTTATATATTCAATTAACAATGAGTTTAATTCAAGGGTAGGAATATCTAAATATTCGTCATTGTCACCGATATTGTATTGCTTTTTTTCTCTTTTTCGTTTCGTTGATCAATATGAGGCTTAATGTAATATTGTGTTGTTATTATTGTTGTTTTCTAGATTGTGGTATTATTCTTTTATGTATTACATTCTATTTTTAGCCTTGATAGATTGTTCATATCAACAAATTTTATTTCAATATTAAATGTGAATAGATTTTATAATAATAATAATAATAATGAATTAATTCATGAACAGTATTTATTAATAAAAATGACTGTTTGTATACAAAAACGTGATCGTTGTCGTTTATGTTTTTCATTAATTTTACGTGATCGTTCAACATTATTTTCATCAATATGTTGTCAAAAATATTATCATTTATTTAAACATATAAAACGTACAAAAATTCCAATAAAAAAATATAATCCATTAAAAATAAAAATTTCATCTCGAACAGTTTGTTTTCGTGATTTAATTTTACGTTATTTACGCACACAAATTGAACCAAAAAAAAATTTTTCAAATTTTATTTGTTATGATTGTTCAATGATATTATTAGATATTGAACAATGTGCAAAATATTTACGACGAACAATAAATCAATTAAAAATTAAATTTAATAAATCAAATCGTCTTGTTACATCATCATTGTCAGCAACATATCAAAAGAAAAATCAAATAATGAAAACAATTAAAAATGAAACATTACCGATTTTAGAGTCGGATGATGATGAAGAATTTGATGATATTGATGATGATGAGGTTTGTTTAAGAAATTTTATAAAATCAAATATTATTTATAGAGTCAATATATTACTATGATGTCACGCTTATGAAAATAAGCATAAATTTTTTTTTTGTTTCAAATCATGTCACCGTGACCGAGATGGAGTCAAGAGAACGTTATTTAAAATTAATCAATTAGAAAACTTATATTTCTAATTTTTCAGATTTACAAATATCAGACTTGTTTCGTACTTTAGTTTGTTGCTATTGAAATGAATCTTTTTGTTTTTTATTTATATTAAAAGTTTTGAAAAGCTTGGCAAATTTATCCTTTATGTTTTTTTTGTACCATAGACTTGTACATCATTACGAGCGTCTCTCACTGAAGTTTAAGATATTTATCGTTAATTTTTACGCTTTATAGTGTATCCTTCATTTAAGTTCACTAAATTAAAGAAGGAAGCTCGTTCAAAGATAAATTACTTTTGATGTCAATCTTACCTTATTAGTTGAGCCATCTATTCATTCTGTATAAAATCTAAAATGATTTGTATGTATGAATTTTTAACTTATGGTTATTTTAGTAAACCTTTGCTATGTTATCTCAATGATCACCTTCAAAATTGAGTTTCAAGTTCGAATTTCGTACAAATCAATTTTTTAGTAGAATAAATTCACTATGAAACTGAGATTTTCTAGTAACTCCTATTCTTGGGTACTAATATTAAAATATTTATTATGCAGAAAAGCAAAACATTGTTCTTATATTCATATCTTAGGACAGGAAATCTTCGAAAGTCTGACACTTTTACAATGAACTAATATTAATTCCAAGAAAAAAAGACCGGTGGGAATGGTTTCTTATAAAAGCCTTCGTTTTACTGCAATGACTTAAAAAAGCGACCAAGACTTTTAATCAGAACACCTATGACTTCTGAATGATTACATCTAAGAAATCGGCACGTATGTAGTTTTGTAGATCTCCCATTGGTGATTCGAATACATATCTGATAATTGACAATTCACTGTGGTCACGTCAATTTGAATTCAAAAGTCAATTTTGAAAGTGATCTGGGAAGTAAGACAGCAACAGTTTACCAAAATAATCATAACTACTTAAGAAAGAAAAAAGAGACGCATAAACATAAATCATTTTCAATTTTGTATAATCTCGATAGGGGTCACTTAATGAGATAAGATTTATCTGAAAAGTTTATTCTTCGTAGTTCTTTCATAGAGAATCAAAGTTCATGAAAAGGAAAGTTAAATTTTCATGAAATAGAAGTACAGCGTGTCCCAAAAATTAATCGTGACATAAAATTGCAATAATTCACATAAACATTTCATTCATAATCATTATTTCAATTGATCGGCATCAACATTAATGAGAGAATCACCTGAAGTAGCACTTTGCGTTTGCAATGAGACTCGAGTCATTAAATGGCATCTGTTGACACTAGAAGACATCTAGAAAGATTCTTCGCTATGCGCTGACTTTTTGGAGTTATAAGTATTATACTGGATATTTTACTTTTGGTGCCGTATTTATAAAAAGTTAATATGAGTGAACTCGTCTCGAGATATCAAACCCACAAAATGGTTTTTCATGAACTTTAAGAAATTGTTATGATTTCAGGAGCTGTCTATGAAGAAAGTTGTGATTCAAATTGGTTTCTTAGATTTTTTTTTATGAATACTGTTCGCACGGTAAAAAACCCAGTGTAACATTTATAACCATAAAAGGCAGCGTAGGGCAAAGAATCCTCCTAGATTTCTAATCTCAATAGACTCTATGTGATGGATTGGGTATTATCTCGGTGGTTTCCTCATAAATATTGATACCGACCATTTGCCTAATTTTTGGAGTATACCGTATAGATGAGAAATCAGTTATTTTTATTTTAATAAGTTGTTCAAGAATAAAAATGATACTTGCATCATTACGAAACAAATTAATAATTCATAGTTATTTATTAAGACTTTAATGAAAAATTTTCTTCTCAATAGGAAACGGATGAAGAAAATGATGATACAACAAAATCAATTGAACCAACAAATCGAACAATTTGTGATCAATCAAAATCTCTTGATTTTACATCATCATCATCTGGTGGTGATTCACTATTACATATTCAACGAAATAATTTAACAAATAAAAATCCGAATAATAATCAGTGCAATGATGATGAAGATAATGATGCTGAAGATGAAGATGATGATGATGATGACGACGACGAAGAAGAAGAAGATGGTTTAGTTTCAAGTCGAAAAACAAAATCTAAAAAACATAAACAAAAAACTTTATCCGAAATTTCACCTAAAAATGTTATATCCAATTTAAATCCCTCATCAACAATAAATCCATCAGATTCATCAATGAATTTACTTCAAGAAACAAAACCAAATATTCTTCAATTGCGTCTTGCCCAGATGATGGCAAATGCCGCAGCTGTTGCATCACTCTCTACAGGTCAAAATAATAACAATAACAATAATAATGATGGTAATAATGTTGATACTGTGATGAATACATTCGCCAATATGCAACGAAATTTTCTATTGAAAATATTAAGTGATCCAATGGCAGCTGCACGGGCTGCTATGTCAGCTACACAAATGAAAACTACTATATCACCAATATCATTAATCGAATCGAATAATAAACAAACTGGAAGTGGTAGAAAACGAAAATCAACACCAGAAAAACGTGTCATTACAAATTATCGATCAACAAATAATAATGGCAATGTATAAATTTGATTTTAATTTACGTAACAAAAAAAGAAAAAAAATTCAAATGTTTTCTTTTTTTGTTTTTAGGCATCTCCAACAATTGAACATGAATCAATGAGTAATTCAACTGATAATATGAATAATCAAGATAGAACTGATCATCCATTAGAATTAACATTAAAAAGTCTGCAATCATCAAATCGTGTTTTAGCATCACCAGATGTTCAAAATCTTGTGGTATGATAAATAAATATGTTTTGTTTTTCATTATTTTAAAATATTAATCTTGTATAATACAGATGTTAAAACTGAGAACTAGAGATAAAAAATCAAAAACCAAAAAATTTTGCCGAGGATACGGGAAAAACAGTCGTTCGGGACAGGAGCGAACTAAAAAATCAAAATACAAGTATTTAATGCCTTTAGATTTAATGGGAATAAAGTTTCAAAAATGAAATCTTATTGGAAAGGTCAGACAGAGTCTAGAGCGTTCTGTGCACTGTTTGATGAAAAGCATGTAATATTCGAGAAGTTGAATTTTTCGAATAATGACTTTCTTTTGATACTAGTCTTCTAATAAAACCTCTAAATGGATTTTTACTAGAACACTAGGTAGTATTTATAGCAACAAATCATTGAAATTGAAACAGAACATTGTAGGCGGTGCCGCTTGTGAGTGCAACGACTCTTCAGCACGCCGGCCTTTTGTTCTGAGCTACAACTAGTTTTAATTATAGGGAATATACTGAGCTGTTGAATCCGCCGATAAGCTGTAATTTCATGCCACAAGATAGCCTAAAAGTAGCAGTATTCTTCTTTGATATAGTTAAAATATATATGTACTACCAAAGAACAATTCAAAGGTTTTAGTTATTTTCAAGTCGATAATATATTCTATCCGAAAGATTTTATTTTCGGCAGTTCATATAAGTCTTTGTTACAATTCTAATCGAATGAATAAACATTTTCAGTATGTGATTAAAATAGTTGATTGGTTAAGAGTGATAGTCTGTTTGGTTCGATTCTACGTTGAAGTATAATATTTTATATATGTTTAGACAAGTCGAAAGAAAGAAAATGGTAGTCCATTACATGTAGGACAATTATATCAACATATTGATGAAGGTACGTAATAAATAGAAAGTTTATAAAATGTTTCTCATATTGCAATTGATGATTTGGAGAATAATCTGAATATAAAGCATGTTGTTAATTATTCAAATTTGCAAGCTTTGATCCCTCTGATGCAATAAATGAGAAAACGAAAAATAGACAAAAAACAAAAAGAATTTTTTTAATTTTCGTATCTTTTACAATAAAATAAAAATCTCTAGATCCTAAAGAGAGTACGACACCGAATGATTCGTCTGTATCTCTTTCATCATCATTAATTCGTCATTCAACATTAGCTAAACGACAGCGTCTTTCAACGAGTGGCCAATATGATTCTACAAACACACAAAATAAGCCATCAATGATTAATATGCCACAAGCAACAAGTGATTTACTATCACCAAATCATCATCAAACAACAATGAATGATGATAATAATTCAAATATTCATCAACGACAACAACAACGTAAATTAGATCCACGTTCATGTGCTGAGTGTGGTAAAGTATTATTTAGTGATAGAACATTATTACTTCATTGTCAAACACATGCAAAAAATGAAAAACAATGTTGGATATGTGGAATCAATGATGATTCTATTAAGAAACATATTATTAATGAACATGGAAATCAAAAAATTACAAATACTGGTTTCAAAGTAAAAAGACATAAATTTATTTTTATTATTAAAAATAATTTTGTTTTAAAATCTTTTAGTGTCAACATTGTGACAGAGTTTTTCCTGTTTTTGCTGATCTAGAAAATCATACAAAAGAACATAGCAAGAAGAAGGTTCAGTGTTATTTTTTGTTAATATAGATTTAAAAAAACCAATGTATTATTTTAGCCTTTTGAATGTCCAATATGTAATAAACGTTTTGGTCAACAAGGAAATTTAAGTTGTCATTTACGAATTCATAGTGGTGTTAAAGTATGATTTGCATAAATATAGAGAAACAAAAAAAATAATAATCATTCTTGTATTTGTTCTTTCTTTTTTTGCTCCCTTAAAGCCATTTACTTGTTCAAGTTGTGGTAAAGCATTTCGTCATTCAAATAGTTTACGACGTCATGCACGTACAGTTCATTCAGCATCTCGTGGTTTAACAACAACAAATTCACTTCTTCCAAGTACTACAACATCATTATCTAATGATATTAAGGTTGAAACATATGATGATGTACCATCATCACTTATGATACCATCTGATGATGGTTCATCATCAACAGGTGGTATTCCATCACCTTCAATATCTAATGCACAAGTTGATAGTGATTCACACGAATAGTTGGGAACAAATTGATCTGTAGAACATTGTTTATTCATTGGCAATACGAATCGTTTAGTTTGTGTCTTTTATATGTGTTTGGCCTCTAGTTCTACATGTTTATGTGAATTTGTACAGTTTTATCTGATGTACTAGTGAACAGTATTTCTTTCTTTGTTTTTTTGTAGAATGGCCCTTTCTCTTTTTTTTTATTTGAGAACAGTGACTTCATTTATCTTGTGTTTTCTTTTATGGCAGTATTTTTCCATCATTTCAGTCAATACCATCATTATCGTTTGTGTTTCTGTTTATGATGCCGGTGATAACATAGATCACAAAACAAAAAAAAAGAGAAATTATATATTATTCGAACAGTGTTTATTATATGCGTATTGTTCCGGTGTGTGTGTGTTTGAAACAGAGATAGAGATGAAGAAAAAAAAGCATATAAAGAAGAAGAAATGTTACTATCGGCTGATTTTCCTCTGCCCCTCCTAACTTTGTTTACTTCCGGTCCTTGATTTTTCATTTTTTTGTGTCCTTTTTCATCATTTTTTTTGTCTATTCTATCTAGTCTCGATATTTTTCTATTTGTTTCGTTGTATACATATATGCTCCATTCGTGTATGGTTGGTTAAGGGTTCTATTTTGTCTATGCAACTTGTCATGTATGTCTTGGTTCTTCTTTGGTTGCTCTTTTTTTTTTTGTCAAAATCATGTAATTTTTGTAGCCAATGTTCTGTTTATTATTATTAGTTGATATTTCTTTATAAAAAAAAAAATAACTAGAAAGTTGCGTCCTTTTCTTTTCTTTCTTTATAGTGCAACACTAGATCTTTTGGTGCTGCTAATGTTTTCTTTCTTTCGTTATATTACTACTACTTACAAGTGTATCTCGCGATCATGTGTAACTTTTTTTTGTTTTCTCTTTTTTTGTTGTTTATTCAATCTCCTTAAGTTCTTTTTTTTTCTTTTTCGTTTAACTTGCTATTATTCTTATAACTACTTATACCATTACACTACACTATTACCGTTTCTTGAGAATATTTATGTGAAAAACGAGAACGCGTGCTATTACTACTATTACTGTTGGTTCGAATAAATTCTAAATTGGAATATATATATATACATAAACGAGAAAAATATTGAAGTATTCTTTTTTGTCTTGTTTTTTTTTTTCGTTTTTGACCTGTTGGAATATGATAAAGAGAAATAGGTTTTGTTTTATTTTGTGAAATACGATTTAAAAGAAGTGTTGAAGTATAGAGGTAGAAATTTGAAGTCAAGTGTCTCCCTCGTGTTCTCGCCTACAGACTGTGACAGATATCTTGACAGTTGATGACAGACTGTGGCGAGACCGTATATCAATAACGTCTTGTTCTAATACACGAATCAGTTTCTTATTGTATTTCTAGAGGATTAAGTAAAAGGATGGAGAAGAAACGTACCCCACAATAGATAAAATAAAGCAATCTCCTTGTGAATAGCCATAGCAACTAAATCGCGTTTCATATTGACTATCTGCTGAGTGTAAGTTTTTCATGTTTTGAAAATCGTTTCAAAAATTTTTTCAGAGTATTCATAATGAGCAGGCACGTCAAGGAGTTAACGCTCCCAATCTTCGCTTTTCTTTAGCGGACTTCTAGGGTTTTATTGATTGTTTTTTCGCTCACCAATTCCCAGGAATACTTTCAACACTTCTCGTGATCCTAAAAAAGGTTAACATTTCTTTCATTTTTTTCTTCTAGATGGATGGATTCAAAAGCAAAACGATCTTCAACAACAACAAAGAAGAAGAAGAAGAAGAAGAAGAAGAACTTGTAAGTTTGTTTACAAGATCAAAATGAATAATGATAACGAGCAGGCAGGTTTTTTTTTTATTTTTTCTTCATTGGGAATATCAAAATACGTTTTATACGAAAAGTCATATTTTTATATTTGTAGGATTGTACATATTGAGTGATGATTAAGAACAAATTTATTCTTCTGTATCTTTCGATATGTTTTGAATTCAAACATGAGATGATCAACTATTGATATGATTGAGCAGCATGAGTCAAAAAGTATATCTATCTTGTTATTTGATTTATGTATAAAAAAAAATTAAATTAAATAAAAACAAAAATTATTATTTTTATATGTTCAGTTAGATTTGAGAATTATTTATTTGATTTTATTAATATGTTTTCATTTGATATACATGTGTATTGTAGAAATTTCATCTTCTATTTTTCTACTTCTCATGGCTGATATTGAACCTGTAAAACAGAATCAAGATCTTGAACCAGAACAAAAACGTAAAGTTTTTATTGGAAGCTTATCATATAATATAGATGAGAATGCATTTCGTGATTATTGGACGAAATTTGGTGCAGTTATGTAAGTTGATTTGCTTTTCTCCTTCTTCTTATTGGCTTTTTTTTTATGAATTAAAATCTTATTTAGAGAAGCATCAATTTTACGTGATCGTGATGGTCATTCACGTGGTTTTGGTTTTGTTACATTTGCTGATCCATCAAGTGTTGATGCTGTTATGCAAGCACGACCACATACTCTTGATAATCGTGTTGTAGAACCAAAACGTGCAGTAAATAAAAAAATTCGTAAATTATTTACTATTTCACTTTTATTTTATATTAAGATACCTCGTGAAGAAACTCATAAACCAAATATGCAATTATCAGTCAAAAAACTTTATTTAGGTGGTGTTAAAGAACCAATAACAGAGAATGATCTTAAAGATTATTTTAGTAAATTTGGTACAATAGTTGATGTTGTTGTTATGAAAGATCGCGATGGGCAATATCGAGGGTATATACATAGAAATATTTATTTTTACTATAATGATTAGTATTATTCTTTCGCTTTTTTTTTTGTAGTTATGGTTTTGTTGAATTTGATGAGTAAGTTATTTTTTAACTTTTGAAATAAAAGGACTCTATCAGATAAGATAATCATTCTTAATTAGAAAAGTTACCTATACCATTTTGTAGAGCAACACAGGAATATTTATAGTAATTGTGCATGATATGACCAAATATTCGGACTCAGTATGTCTTCAAATTAATCTAGATCAGATTTTGTTTAAAGTTCAATAGTGTATATCTGATAAACACAATCAGTTTTTCTCTTACTGAAACAAGCAATATCGAAAATTTTAAAACATCATAATAACAATAAATTACAGGAGTTAATAAAAATTTTAAAATTTTAGGTTAGAAAAAAGCTATTTCCAGTCCTATTAGATATACACTATTGAAGATGAGACAAAACTCTATTGATGTAACTTTAAACAAAATTTGATAAAATGGCTTCTCAGACCATTAAAATTTGATGAAAAAACAATTTCTTATATATCATTCAATGCGTCATAAATTGCTCTACAAAATGGTATAGGTGACTTTTCAAATCAAGGATGGTTATCTTATCCGACAGAGTCTTCTATGTAGTTTTCTTCTTATTAATAGTTATGATCCGGTGGATAAAATTATACTTGAAAGAACTCATCTTGTATGTGGTCGGCAATTAGATGTTCAAAAAGCCCAATCACGAGATGCATCACAACGTTCTGGCAATACACGACCTCGACAAGGACCCCCGTCAACATCGAGATCAAATTATAATAGTGGCGGTGGTGGTGGTGGTGGTGGTGGTTATAATAATTATCAACAAGATAATATGAATGATCCATTTGGACAAATGCCAAATAATAATTTTAATGGATATGGATCAAATTTTAATGAAGGTAATGGTAATTGGACTTCATTTGGGCAAGGGTGAGTTTTAAAATTTGTTATTTGTTTTAAGTTTTTTGAATAATTTTATTATTAAGATATGGTCAACAAAGCGTTGGTGGACCTATGCGACGTGGAAATATGGGTGGTGGCGGTGGTGGTGGTGGTGGTGGTCATGGTCGCGGTTATGCACCCTATAATGGTCGTGGTGGTGGTCGAGGTCGAGGTGGCGGAAACCGAGGAGGTCCATCATGGACTTCATGGAATTAAGATGAATATTGACCTTGTTATATAATGATGTTCTATTAAAAATTCCTTTTTTTTTCCTTTATTTGTTATCGTTCATTCTGTATGTATATCATGATATTGATTAAAACAAAACAAAATAAAAAAAAAAGTTATTATTGATGGAATCATCTTCTCTTATTCTTCATCGTTCACAAGCACAAAAATTAAGGACAAACGCTTAAAATCGATTCCAAAATCGACGCATACCTAATTTGACCCTTATTTGCCAACTAATTAAGACAAACAAACTGAGTAATAAAGATAGTTTATTGTTTTCTCTCTATGTGAAAAGAGTAAGTGACATATGTAAGTAACAAGCAAAGAAGCAAAAGAACAATCACAACACGATAAAAGTTATTTCTTCGCCAACGAAGTTTTCACCGTACGATAGGATATAATAGTCATTTATATTTTGTTAAATTCTTCTCTCTCACATTGTAGATGATCATTTCACAATATACAGAGTACTATGTATAATTGGGGGTATCAGCACTTAATGAGATCTCGATGTTTCAAGATAGTTGTATTTTTTCAAAATGTTATTCATGAAAACCGATGTTGCTTTACTAAAAGAAATCATTTTTAATGGAAATTCAACCAAAGAAGATGTATACTTAGCGGAATTGATCGAATTTTCAAAGTAGAAAGACATCTAGTGAATCTTGAATTACTTGCTTTTTTGTGAAATCTCTGTCAGATGTCAGTTAGTTCTGGTCCGAACCTTATCACGAAACATCACACCTCTGTATATAGAGAAGGTTCAATATTATTTCAAAATTTAATAAAAATAATTAATTTCATTTCTCATCTGATGCGTATTGACAGTCTTGTTTCATCTTTTATACTTTTTTGTTTTTGTTTTTTTTCTTTGTATTGATCGTATCTCCGTTTATTGTTTTCTATCATTAGAAAAGATCTTGACTAATATTCTATGGGTATTCACCGAATAATTGTTTCTTTTCGTCAAGGATATATGCTTATTATCATTTCATTAGATAGGAGGAGAGACATAATTGATTCAATGCCTTTGAAGTTCATTGAATCAAATAGATACTCATCGATTTGACAACAAAATAACAAGACAATGTATACATGTCAAATATATATCTATATGATAGACATAGATCGCACTCGATATGTTGACCTTTTGGCCTAAATGATTTTTCGGTCGAAACTCGATCTATTGATGGTGATTAGTGTATGTGTGTGTGTGTGAGACAGAGAGTTCATACACGCTGTTGGATATAAACACAAATGAGACGTGCCTGTTGTTATAGTTAAAGTTTCTATGGGGTGTGGCTGCTTGTCGTCAGCAAAAGGTTGTATAGATCGTTTACATTCACACAATTCAATTGACAGCATAAATTAGGCGCATATTTTAGTTGATCAAGGATTATTAAAATAAAAACTAAACGTCAGAAATATGACAATTTCTCTTATTATTATTATAATTATTATTATGAAAAAAGAAAAACAGAAAGAAAAGTGCAATATGAACAAATAGAGAAACAAAACTAGAAATAATGAAGATCTGCCTATTAGTATCGATTTATCAATAGATATGACTTGTTAATGATGTTGCTTGATTTTCCCTTATATTTTTTCACTGTCCATGTCAAAGTAATAATAATCGTCTATTTCTTTTTTGACTAGAATTTTGTTTCTCAAATAAAAAAAGAAATATCCGTTGTTTTTTGTTTTTACATTTATGATGAACATGTTGTAGTCGTTGGCGAAATAAAATTGTACAATGAATGATGCTGAAATATATTCGCAGCATATTCTTTCATTTGTATTAAACGATATTTTTCTGTATCAGCTTCAGCTAAACGTTTTTCTTTTGCTCGACGATTTTGAAACCAAATCTAAATTTTATAAGAAGAAATAAAAAAAAACGTTTTTTGGATTGAAAAATAAAAAAAAAATCTATTTCAATTACATACTTTAACTTGTGTTTCAGTTAAGTTAAGTGATGCTGAAAATTCTGCTCGTTCAGCTATTGTTAAATATTGTTTATCACGAAATTTTTTTTCTAATGCAAGTAATTGTGATGTTGTAAATGGTGTTCGTGGTTTACGATTTTGTTTATGTTTACGTAAAGAACATATTTTAGCATTTATTTTTGGTAATTCATTATTACGTGCTTTATCAATTATATCTGCATCAGGTAACCAAGACAATCTTGTTATAATACTATTTCTACCTGTTGAGGATGTTGGTGAATATTGAAAACTTTCATTACTTGTTGAATCAATTAATGAACGTATACTAAAATCGGTTGGACGTTTACTTTTTTTAAATGGTGGTTCCATAGTTTGATTAGATATGAATAAGATATAATTTGTGAAATCAAATTTGCATCTCTTTCTGGCTTTTTTCTTTTTTCGATCGTCTAGAAAGAGAAGGAAAAAATATGATTGGTTTGAGCATTGAACTAAGACGAAGAAAATTATTTATTGGACGAAAAAAAAAAAAAAAAAAGCGAGAGAGAAGAGAAAGGTGATTATTTCTTTTCTTTTTTCTTTTCTTTCTCTCTGATCGATCGGGAAGAAAAAAAAAAGGAAACGAGAGCTTATCCCTGAGAGACGGAAATATGGATTTTCTTTTTGCAATCAAAGGAAATTGCCTCTTTTCAGGCAGCCTAGAAAAAAAGTACTTTTTAGTCATCATATACACTCCTTTTTTTTTTTTTTTATTGATGAAGGTCATAGAAATAAGTAGAGGATATCAATCAAAATAAAAAAGTGACATATCAAATGATCATTATTCGTCTATATTAACAAATCCGAACAATTTCAATCTAGACAAGTTACCTACCAGGTAAAATGACAAATTCATCTTTGATTTCATGTTGTTGGTTACTTTTTTCTTTTATTTATTTCCAAATAAATAAATGATTGTTAAACGAAATAAAAAAAAAAGCAATTGTGTCATTAAATGTGATTGATTTGATGATCTATATTAGACATACTTTTAACGGAAGTGAATCGTTTGATGAAAACGATCTAGATCCATCATAATACTATTCTACCCAGATGCCCTAATAGAGAATAAGCAACAAGAAAGAAAACACGAACGGATATCGGCATCTTTTAACAAATACAGATATATATATATACAAGTCGTGCAATTATCATGGAAAAACAGATGAGTTTAAAGAGTATAATCAATACTAAGATATCTCAAGTATTAAGTTAAAACATTTTTATTTCAACATCATTAAATATATATCCATTGAATACATCGTCGTCAACGAAATGTCAAACGGTTATTATATTCATTGATCAATTTCTATGACCGTATGATTCAATGATTTGGAAAAGATTTTATAGAGAGAAAGAGAGAGAGAGAATGGTTCATTTATTCTTACAGTTAAATAATTATTGTTTTTCTCACTTTATATAAAAAGCACATCGTCACGATTTATTAATAAAAAAAAAAAACGAAAATGTAAATTTCAATTCTTCATCTCTCATGTTTCTTTTTTTTCATAAAGTAGTTGACAGACAATGCACATGTCAATTGAATATTTATTCACTCGAATCGAGAAATTTTTGACATTTTCAAACATGCAAGCAACTTTCAATTGACTTTATATATTTTAAAATATGTGTGACAACAATATAATTCAGAAAAATTAATGGTCATATCTTCATCGTGTAGGAAAAATGATAAATGAGAAAGACAGAGACAATTAACGAAATATATACATAAAATACTATTTAACAAACCATATTTTTATGAATCAATTAGAGAAAAGAGAAATCTTTCTCGTTATTTTTCCAGACAATATCGATTAACCAGACAATTGTTGTAACATAAAGCTTTGAGAATCTGGTATTCTCCTATTTTGTTTCTGTTTAGAACAAACGACACTAACTATCTCATTAGTTCGTTCTAACACGATAACCGTCCTTCTTTTATATATGCATATATATATAAACATTAAATGGTTGAGACGTGACACAACGAGTCAATTGCCATTCGCTTGATGAGGCTAATCGACTATTAACGAATGCGTTTATTTCCAAACTAAGAACTTTTAATCGTCAATAAATAGACATTATATACTGTGTATACATTAAAAAAAAATGATGCCTGACACAAAGAAGACTAGTTTTACAAAAGAAAACGAAAAAAAAAGAAAGGAGAAAATTTGCACATGTATCAAAAGGGAAAATAAGTTGAATTTATTTCAAATTGCTTAGCTAATTGTTCTTTTATTTGAATAAAACGATATTTTTCTAATTCAGCTTCTGATAAACGTTTTTCTTTGGCTCGACGATTTTGAAACCAAATCTAAATTTTTCAGAAGAAACAAAAAAAAACGTTTTTTTTTTATTTTGACGACAAAAAACTATTTCAAATACATACTTTAACTTGTGTTTCAGTTAAATTAAGTGATGATGAAAATTCTGCACGTTCCGATATAGATAAATAATGTCGTTGATGAAATTTTTTTTCTAATGCAAGTAATTGTGTTGTACTAAATGGTGTTCGAGGTTTTCGACCATTTTTATGTTTACGTAATGAAGAAATTTTTGTATCAAATTGATCTTGAAATTTTTTTTTTTTAAATAAAAATAAATAATTTTACATATAATTCAACTTACCAGATAACCAATATGAATTGGAATTTGTTGTTAATGTACTATTATTAAGATTATTTACCAATGGAATTGAATTCCAATTTGATGGTGAACATGATGATTTTGATGGACTACTACCATTCGAAGGATATGTATAATCACATTCATTATTATTATTATCTCGTAAAAGAAATGCAACACTAAAATCTTTTTTCGGTTGGCTTCCCATCTCTGTTTGTCTTTATTCTGTGCAGAGGATAATTGTGCCTGTGTAATTATGATGCGTACGATTTGTTTTTCACTGGCTGTGTGTATATATATATATATTGTTGATTCTGTAACACCAATGAAAACGACGATGATGATGGTAAAGAATGAGAATAGTTGGCCTTTACACACACGATTGGTTGTACGGGAAAGGGAAGGAGAAGAGAAAGGAAAAAAAGAAGGGAAAGAAAGAGACAGAAACATAATATAATACATTGCTCTCTTGCTCGTTAATATTTGATATTCTCTTTTGCACCGGCTTAATGCGATCGCATATGTGGCAGCGAATCATCAAGCAAGCAGATGATGTGATCAAGTCATTTTTATAATGAATACATAATAACAGATCATTTCTCACTAATATGACCATTAAACAATTCAAACTTTTCGTTATTATATTCCATTTCTTTGCTTGCATTTCTTTTTCTTTTTTTTTTTTGTTTCCATTGAAATCTTTTTATAAAGAATAAAAAAAAAAGAACAAATGCTATCATTATAAATCATTTCTAATAGGGTGGAGTAATGTAATTTAATCGTTGAAAACTAATCATAATTATACAAAACAAAAGACATATCTAATATCCGTTCTTTCTTTCTTTTTTCTATCCACATTTATCATATAATTACATAATAATAATAACATATATTTCAATTTTTCCACTCTGTTTATTCTTTTCGTTTTTTTCTCTTTCGTTTCTTTTTTTCTTTTCGATTAACTTAGTTGCAAAATTCATCTAATGTCTTGATAAATGACTTGACACATTACAACTGTCACTTCTCTTTATCGTTTCACACACATTACATAGCCAAGTAAGCGTATGACTGCTTTACTGATTCATTGCGTGTATCATATATTTACATACCTTGATTAACTGACGATGTTGAGTCTTATTGCTTACATTTCATGGACGAATCTTATTAAAAAAAATGATCATTATAAAAAATTTTTTTTTTTCAAACATTTTCTATCCTATCTATTTAACTAATGACAAAAGTGAATGTTGATATTATACAATGTCTTAAGGTTGTTCATTGTATATGGTTGTCAATAAAAAAAGATGATGGATTAATGTTAATTATAGGTTAATGTCATTTTTTTTTGCGGATTGAAATCGAAGATAAATTTATTTGATAGACAAAAAAAATAAAAATCATGAAGAGAGATAAACAATATTAATGTTTTTTTTGTTTTATACATTGGAATGAAGAATAATTGTCATATAGACATTTATCATCAATATTATTAACATTAAAATGTCGTTTGTTTGTTTTGTGTGGCTTTTTTTTTGCAATAAGGTGTATCAATTAATCAACTATATTGATAATAGTAACATCTACTTTTCATTGTATCGTCATTTGAAATTGATCAGTTTAAGTGTACACACAGACAAATAGATTAAAATGCATGAATAAGCTTAAGTTTTTTTTCGTTTTTTTATCTAATGAAGTCTGTATATAGCAAAACTATTAGATGTTAACATTTGTATATGAGTAAATTGATAATGTTTGGCGATATATTTTTACATTTCTGCTTTTCGATGTATCATTAACTTTTATTTCAATAAGATTGTTCATCATTGTTTATATACTGTATATACGTGTATACAGAAAGCATTCTCGATTGTATATTCTTTTTTGACAACTAATAGATGTATTTAGAACAAAAATGTTGTTTCTTATTGTATGCTTTAATTATAATATTGGATCTCACGGTTATCCAGTGAAGAAATAAGAAAAAGAAGAGAAAAAACATGAAAAATACAACAAGATCATACATAAGTTTAGTTCCAATCATTGGTCGTAGAGAACAAATAAAGAATGATAAAATAATCGAAAAAATAACTACAGCTGAAAAACATGAATATTCTCATAATATATAGAGTTAAATCATTAAAAGTAGTTGAAAAATGATATTTATTGAAAATAACTATTATTCTTTCTAAAAAAAAAAAATCTTTAAATTATATTATTGATATTTGTTTTTATGAGTTCTTGTTAATTTTCTAGGGTGAATAGAATCATCCGATTTTCAACAAACAGAAGCTTGCAAAGAATAAAATTAATTTCTAAAAACTTTCATTGTTGTTGATCTCTTATTATAATAAGATTTCTTGTTGAGAAAAAAGTCATTCCATCAAGTGATAAAGCGATTGCTTATTTTTGCATTTTTTTAATCTATGTATTTTTTTTTTCATTTTCTCACATTCGATCTGGTTCAACATGTTGAAAACATAACATTCGAAACTATCGTCACATCTTTCTCTTCTTCAATTTATTTCAATGGAAATAACATCGAAATCGATTTCGTATTTCACATTATAACGTTACATGTTATTTTCTCTTTTTAGCTTGAAGTGAATAGTCTCTGCTACATTTGCTCCTAAGATATAAATAAATCTGTCTAAATCTTAACGTTAAGAAATAAAATAGTTTTTCAAGTCATTCTTCCGTCAATGACCATTGACGTGACTAAACTGATGTCACAAAAACAAAAGTGTAGTGAGTCAATTGAGGTATACTATGCGAGATGAAGGATCAAGTAAAAATTCATAGAAATTCGAAATATGCGTCATTTTTTTATAGATAACTTTCTTTGTGCATATTCTAAATCAGTATCTTGCACCCAGTACTATTTACTAATATATTTTCATCTATAAACATCAACAATTGTTATTCGATTAAGAATAATAAAGTATCAAGAACAATTACGAAAGATTTCGCACAAATGATATTCTTGTCACAAATATAATAAAAAAATCAATCTATTGTTTCTTTGTTGAACAAGTATTCAATGTTTATAGTAATTTATCAATATGATTTGAAAATTTAAAATGTCTCTACATAGCTTCGGTGAAAAATTGTATTATTTGTTTTCATGTAATATTAAAAAGAAAGAAAAATTATCTTTGAAAAATTGTAACTTTTTTTCAAATTCACAACTTTGTCTCTCTCTCAATGAATTCGAACCAAATGAAAGAACATGATTGGATTTTTATCGGTTTGTCTGTACATGTTATTGGCAACCTTGTATGTAGACAAATAGAAGATATAACAGTAAAAGTATTTCTATAACGTTAAAATTATATTCTTATAGTTTTTTATTAGTAGTTAAACTTATTGTATGCTGGAGCAAAAATGTTCAAAACGTTTTCATAATTATTCCAATAAATTCTATTCTATAATTGAATAATGCATAAATGAATATCTATTCGGTCTCAGCACGAACAATCCTATCGAAAGTTGTCGGATGTCGGATCCAACAGCTGGAAAATGTTGCCATACACTCAGAATCCAACAGGATCCTGTTATATTCATATCTTGACATCAGGTAACTATTATCCCTTGCTCCCCCTTATCGTCTTTCCTCAATCTCATCTCTGATTATTCGCTTATCGACTGAAATAATAAGTAAGGATAAATTACACTACGAGCAGTTGGTTTTCATCTATTGTGCATATCTAAATAAATGGTATCGATATTATGAACGATAAACCTAAACAATTGTAGAAAGAAAAACAAACTTATATTTCAACTCACCTATTTTTGCAGTTACCCAATTGTACCTGTAAATAAAGAAAAAAAGTATCATATTTTTTTTGACTTACCATCATTTTGATGTTTTGATTAATGGATCTATATAAAGAATAAGGTGGTATAATTTTATTTATTTTTTATTCTAAATTTAGAATATTACGTGGTAAAGTTTTAAAAAATGTTTAAAAAACAATATAAAGTATTTTATTGAAGCTTACTACAAGATTTGATTGCTGAATAGCACATCTAAATGAAGAATATGAAAAATGATCATATACACACTCACTATAAAAATTCAGATCTTGAATAGTGAATCTAAAATAAGAATATGGAAAAAAAGATATACCAATTACATTTTATTAATCTTTACTTTTCAATGTTGAATAGTGAAACCAAATAAAAATCATAAAGAACATGAAAATACGTGTGCCCTTATTGGTATATCTGATTATTGAACAATAAACTAGATTAAAAAGTGGCAAAACATAAAATAATCACTAAATTGGCATTTCGCATAATAAAGCTAACGAACGTACATGAAAAGAATTATTACATTTTATTGGAACTTGCTAATAAATCTAAATTTAGATGATAAGTCTAAAAAGAAAATAACTTATTTTCGAAACTCGATTCGTTTTTAAGCAAAATGAGCACATTCTCTTGTCTTAAATAATACCGCTCTTACTCCACCAGTCCAAAATAGTGTTTATACTGTCACGTTGTTATGATCACATTTTAATATAACTCTGATAAAACATTTTTCTGCTTTGTCAGAACAATATATTTTATTTATTTTAAGCGATAATAGGGTCGCTTCGTCATAAGAGCCACAAAATATTTCAAACATTGTCCAATAACCATAAAAAAGGTGAAACATGATGGAAAAAGAATCGTAGTAAAGTATTTAAAAAAACACTACTAGAGAGTATGAGTATGGATATAAATAGAGCAGAAGTCTCATATCAACACCCCGAAACTTTTGAATACAAAGTTTTTAAAAAAAATTAACAGAAAATAAAGATAAATATCAACAAACACATTGCAGAATAGAGATGAATTGATCGTCGATGAAACGATGAAAATGATCATCTCATCAACTATTGAACTCATGAAAATCGATTGTTTTCTGTTCGTCGGCGATGATGAATTTTCAAATTAATGAAAAAAAAGCAGTTCAATGTCATTGATTAATTATTCATCAATGATGATCATTGAATGACTTTTTATTTGTAAAACATATATAAGGAATGATTTTCTTGTATGAAATAATTCTTTTCAATCAAACATTTCGTCATCAACAGATTGAGTAAGTATCTCTAATGATTTTTTTCAGAAGGTGCAATACACAATTATTATGAGATTTATTATAATGAAATTTATTCATTTATATGATACCATGTGATTACTTACATATATTATGTTTTTTAC